TGCTCGTGCGCGCAACCCGCGGCCGAGGCGGCGGCGGCGCCCGGCTGGGCGAAGGCGCGGGGCCGCCCCGGGGAGCCCCCGGCCGCCGCCTCCGCGGCCGGCGACGCGGGCTGGCCCAACAAACACACGCTGCGCATCCTGCAGGACTTCAGCTCCGACCCCTCCTCCAACCTCACGTCCCACTCGCTGGAGAAGCTGCCGGCTGCCGCCGAGCCGGCCGAAGGAGCCTCGCAGGGGCAGGAGGCCGGCGGCCCCCGCGCCCGAGACCCCGCGCACCGACCGCTGCTCCGAGACCCTGGACCCCGCCGGTCGGTGCCGCCCCCTGGCCCGAGCGGGGACGGCTCCCTCCTGGCTGGGCTGTTTGAACACCCACTCTACCGGATGGCCGTTCCACCGCTAACGGAGGACGACGTGCTCTTCAATGTGAACAGCGACATCAGGTTCAATCCCAAGGCGGCAGCTGAGAACCCTGACTGGTGAGTGAGGCTTCACGGAGGGGGCAGGGGCCGGGGGTAAGTGCGGGCAGGCCCCGACCCCTCCACCGGGCCTTCAGCCTGTGCTCCCTTCCCAGGAAAGGGCCTTGCACATCCCAGGCATTGTGTAAAGAGGCCAGAGGCTCAGGAACCCTGGGAGGGTATGGACCCTCACGGCCAAGCAACGCCCCACCCAGGGGAGCTTTGTGGGGGTGGGGCAGCATGCTGTCTCTTGCTCAGGGCACTGCCTTTGTCTCCAGAATGACTGCCTCCTTGAGAAGGGCTGCTGGGTGGTTTGGGGACTGTTCCCTGTGGAGCCAAGGGAGGGTCAGTGCTGCCTTCATAGGAGAGCCATGCTGGCCTACAAGCTCCTGGTCTCTGGCTCCAGAAGCCCAGTGGGGCAATGCAGGCACCGGCTGGCAAGGGCATGAATGAGAGGAGCCACTGCCCCTAACCTTTCCCCGGGGAGCTGCCGGCTGTCAGGCCTTCCAGACACTCGGCGACGTTTCTCTAGTGGAACATCAGGAAGGTCTGCAGAAGCCTAATGAGCCCTGTAAGCCAGTGGCCGAGAACAAAATTAGCAGAGGGGCGTGCTGGCCCCAATGAGGCAGAACAAAAGGGCTCTCCCAGCCAGGGTGCAGACAGCAGGCTCCCTTGGAATGGTGCCAGCTGCGTTGGGTGACAGCTTCATAAAAGGTGAGAAGCATATCCCAGGAGCACTTCTTTAAACTGTCCTGGTGTAAGCCCTTCCCCCCCCCCAGGCCCTCCTCAGCCACACGGAGCAGAATAGGCAGATGCGGGACCCAGAGAAGTGAAATATTAACTAGCGGCCAGGCCGGAGTAAATAGCTACCTGCAAGAGGTTACCCAAGCAACGCAGGGAAAGGCCAGGTTTCCAAAACATCTCATAAAAATCCTTTCTACCCTGAAACTTGACCAGGCCCAGGCGTTTCTGTCTAAATACACCAAGGTGTTCGGTGGCCTTTGAGCTTTGACTGCTGGCCAGGTTCAAGGAAATGCTCAGAAACTTGAGAATCAGAGCAATGGCCCAGACCTGGAGCTCTTCACAGGAGAGACACAGCCCAGGGCCGATGGTCAGTGATGCAGCCCCTGCGGGACAGGATTTGGGGCCGGAAGGGCCCTATTTGCGGGCGAGTTGGACCTAGGAGAAGAAGCTCCATTTCCCTCCGGCCCAGCAGGAGTCTGTGTGCTCCCCCAGACCGGCCCCCGGGCTCCGGAGATGTCATGTCAGAGGATGCGCCACTTTGGGCCTCAGCGGGAGTGAGTGCCTCCTTCCTTCCTCGCTCCCCACCCAAGACTGCTCTCGTTAAAATCAAGTTTAGCTTCTTGCATCATCTCTGCCCCTGGTTGTTGGAACCAAAAGAGAGTGCCCAGGGAAGGTTTCTGACGGGCGGGGCGTGTCTGCGTGTGCGCATAGCGTGCGGTCAGAGACGGCTCGCTGGTCTGCCCCCAGGAAGAGCTGGTGGCCTCTCACCCCCCAAGCTGACATGAGGCTTGTTGGGCTGTTTGGGTGACCCCAGGACAGACGAGGCAGGGCCTCACGCTGATGTTCTGGACTTGGTCCTCACGTAGTTACAGCTGTCTGGGTGTCTCCCGAGCGCAAGTAGGAATTACGGCCTTTCGCTATGTCATTAGTTACTAGAACGGCAGCCGCAGAAAAAGTGCCGACGTCCGCAGGGTCCTGTCTGAGCAGAGGCCCCTTTGAGTACGTCTGCATCGGTTTGGACCCAAAGTGAAAACCTTGGCGTGGGCACCAGCTCCTCCTTATCCATCCGGGCCTCAGCACTCCGTTCCTTCCCTGCTGACTCCCGTCACCTTAATTTTCTGCAGGCCGCGCGAAGGCACGGAGAACGAAGAGTTCTTGCCCACCGGGGAGGCGGCAGTGGACTCCTACCCCAACTGGCTAAAGTTCCACATCGGCATTAACCGGTACGAGCTCTACTCCAGACATAACCCCGCCATCGAAGCCCTGCTGCATGACCTCAGCACTCAGAAGATCACCAGTGTTGGTAGGTGCAGGTCTGGGGCTGCAGACGGGCACCTGCAGAAGGCAGGGACTGCCTTCCTCCGCAGGAGACGGGGGGGGGGGGGGG